GGCAGTGTCACTGGCCCTCATATGTGGGATCCGAACCGGGGCCCTCTGGCATCCCAAGCGAGTTCTTAACCATCGCGCCACTCGGCCGGCCCGGTGTCGTGCCTTATATTCCAGGGTTGGGCAGCAGGGAATTTAGTTCCCCGTTGGGCAGGGTGCCGCCCCCGCGGCCTGTTTCACCAAGTTTGAGCCCATCAGCGAGGCGCGGGGGAGGGTCGGCTGCCAGGCAGGCCACGGCCGGTCCCTCGCTGAGCTGCCGGGGATTTGCGGAAGCCCGCCTAGCAGGGAGGAGACGGTTCCCGGGGCCCCACGAGCGTGGGGATGCTGAGGCCGGCTCAGGTGCTTCCTCCCTCCCCCGCCAGTCCCGTCACCCCCACCCGGCGCCACAGGTCGCCGATATCCAGCACAGCCCCACCTTACACCGCGCCTCCGGGTGCTGTCACGTGAAGCGGAACCGTGGAACCAATGGGCTGCTCGCGCCGAATGGAAGGAATTGTCTGACCCTCATGACGTCACAAAGCTGGCGGGCCGCGCGCCGCTCTTCCGCCCCTGCACCCCAGCCACCGCCCGCTCTTCTCCTCCCCGCCCCCTCGCCACAGTGCAGCCAATCGGGAAGCGGGAAGGCCCAGACCCGAACGCGCGGGCGGGGCAGGGTGGTGGCCAACCAAGGCGGGGACGCGGAGTGGGCCGGCCGGGGGGCGGAGGGCCGCGCTCCGGGGAGTTGCGCCCAGCTGTGTGGAAGGACCGCTGCTGAGGCTGCCTCCACAGCGGGAGGAAGCGGCTCATCCCCTGCCGTGCCGGGTTCGTATTCTCAGTTCCCGGCCGTGAGCCGCCCGGTCCTCTACCCTCCCAGAGTTGTGAGTGGGCGCCGGCGCGTAGGGCGAGGCAGCTGCGGGCTTACGGAGGGCGAGCGGCGGCTAGGGCAGGGGAGGGACCAGCCTCGGAGCGCCAGGTGCCCGCGGGCCGTGGGGGCGGCTCTGGGGGACGCCGCGGGCGCGGGGAGGGGGCGGCCCCGCTGGATCCGCTGTCGGCGCTGTGGGGATCCGCGGAGGGTGAGCTCCCCGTCGTCTCTGTTCGAGGGTCCCTGCTTACACACCCAGGTGTCTGGGGTTACCCCCACTGGCAGCCCGACGCGGGCCGCCCCTGGTCTGGACCCCAGCCGTCGCCGCGTGGGGCCGGGCGGGGCGGGCAGCCGACTGAGGATACAGCGCGCCCAAGGGTTCGGCGCTCGGGCTGGATGGAGGCGGTTGTCCCGGGGCGCGCTTCTGCCCGCGTCTGGGCCTCCGCCGCCTCGGGCTGTGGCTCTGCTTTTCCGGCGGGGTGGGTTGGTTAGTTTGCTTGGTTTCCTCCTCCTCCCCTCCCCTTTCTCCCTCCGTCCTGTTTCCCCCTCCCAGCCCAGCCCCAGTCACCGGACTGGAGCGAGACCTCGCCCCTCCTCCGCTCCCGCCTCCCCCGCTGCTGCCTCCTCTAATGAGCATCTGCCTTGCTTTCAACGGGCCGGTGCTGCTGTCGCTGCTGCTGCCCGCGCGGGTTGTGGATGTTGTCGGCTCCGTATTATGATGACAGGAAAATGTGTGTGTGTCCTGGGCCCAGACGAATTGGTAGGTATTCATTTAAAGCCCTGCGTTGGGTATTCAGAAAGCATGGTGACTGATTTTGTGTGTGGATGGTTTTAGGTGGCTCAGCTTGGAATTACTAGGTAGGTAGAAAACGGAGACAAAGGCTTCCCGGACTGTGATAGCTTTGATGCTTTGGTGAATGCAATTTTCAGGCAGGGACAAAGGAAACTAATGAAACAGGTGCTAGCTTGGGGCTTCGTGTCTTCCGAGGGAAACCGGTTTCTTCATTCATGTAGAGATAACAGGAGCTGTGAAACGGCTAGACATTTCTAGAAAATGCTGAAAAATCGCAATGCTTTTATGCAGGGTGGTTAATGCAATCGGATTACATAAACTGGAGGTTCTGACACTTTTAATGACTAGTATAGCATTTTTAAAAATTTACACCCAAAGCTTTGCAGACTTAAAGAGCTGTAAGAGCCGGTGCAGTAACAGCATTTTCTAATTAATTTGTTCCACGGGTTTATTGATGAAGTGGAATTATTTCTTGGCACCGGCTCTGCTGAGCACATCAATAAGAATGGGCCTCTTTCCTGTTTTGGGTTGCAGCACATCTTTCCTTATTAGTCATTGGCAAAAGCGGCCAAATCCTCTTAGGACGAAGATGCTGCATATAACGTGGCTCAGTCTGGATCATGGGATAGGAACTTTTCAATGAAAACGTGGTCAAAAATGACTTGAAAATTTGACACTGCTTCAGTTTACCAACAACTGTACCATGTTGCTGTTCTTTGCCTAATCAAGAGCTTTCTACTTCGTTCATTTAGCAAATTCATTAACAAAAGTTTTGTTGTCATAGGTTTTTTTGTTGTTGAATCACAGAATATTCAGGAAGATACTCAGAGTGTTTGCTCACTTATGGTTTCTGAAAACATTTGAAAGTACTTTGACTTCTAAGGGTATATGGTCTGATGGAGAGAATATATCACTTGTATTGATGAAGATAGAATGCTCATTATTTACGGAGCAGGGTTTTCTTGAATTTCACCTTCCCTAAGAATGTTCTTTGAAGACATGTTGGGAGTTGGGGAATTGGGATGCAATTTCAGTCCATACGCTAAGCTGAATAACTGAGAGATACAGTTGATAAAATTCACTCTCTGCTTTTTTGTTTTCAGTCTTGAGAACTTTTGCTTTGAAGGAAAAAGGTAGTATATTATTTGAGTGCTTGCTGTTTGAATATACGTATTATTCAAAGCATTTGCTACATGAATCATTAGTTCTTTTATCACAATATTTCATTAATTTTGCAATGAACTACAAAAGCAGAAAAATTTTCAAAACAAAGGCATTTAAGAAAAGTGCAGGTTTCCTGGACTTATTATTCCTTGATCAGACATCTTATAAGGAAACCCTGTTACACAGTTATACATCTATCAAACCCTTCCTTCCAGACACACACATAGTACTTTGATTCAATCAATATTCCATCAGAAACACACTTTTTTTTCCCTGTAGGATTCTTAAATTTTAAAGTAAGCACAAATATAAACATATAAAGTATGGAGAAAATGATTTTTCATCTGTTTACATTTTTAATAATAGAAATTGTTTATACAAGAGCATGAAGTGAGTTAATGTGCTTTCTGCATGCAAACCTAACAAGATATATGGTTCATGTCTGGGAGCCAGTGTCATGTGGCTAAACATTTGAGCACATCTCCTGACTCAGTAATGTACACTTAACCTTTGGATGACTTTAAGGTATTCAGTTTGATGTACTGTTATTTATGTGGTTAGTTTTGATAGGTTCCTTTTCTTCTGGAATTTCTATTTTTCATCACTGCATTTAGGAATGCTTATTTAGTTATTGATCTTATTTCAAAAATTCTAATCATTACCTTTTATTACTTAATCTTGTCTTCAATTTTGTAAACAAATCCCTTCTTAAGTAATGCAGTTAAAATAATAGTACTTTTTATTACTTGCAAAAGGGATTTTGGAGTCAAGGGAATTGTAATAGATATGTATGATATGGGGGGGAAGTGGGGCAGCGGATTGGGGGAGAGGGTTTGTCACTTTGAGGGGTAAAAAGTATAACTATTGCACTGTGTTGTACAGCTGAAACTCATTTTAAAAAAATGTGTATTTCATAATAAAAATAAAAAAATAAAAAAGGGATTCTGTATAACTGGCTTATGCAATGCTTATTTCAGAAGCAAACAAGGGTCAATTATTCAGTGTTTGGTTTTCTCTGCTCTCCCACATCCCACTTGTCAATTTTTCTCCAATTACTCTTCAAAAGAGGTTATGCAAAAATAGTGTAATACATAGCTAATGCTTTATGATATTTGTAAATTTTGTGTTCCTTAATAGGTCCATCCTTAGGAAGGAATAGCTGATATTAAAATTCAGTTGGTTTTATTTTCCTTATTTCTTTTTATTTACTGCATTTATTTACTTATTTAAAGTATTTGGAAAGCCTGTTTCTTTATTGGCCAGATGAATACTTTGAGACAATATCTCAAGAATTCAGGGGAAATATTATTGAGAAAGAAGGAAAATTTTTTTCTTGCATAAATTATCTGGGTTAATGGTAAACATTCATTAAAATTTCTAGATAAATGCCCAGCAAAATCTTTTCAATGTCATATACTGAGTGATATGATTTAGCTATATTCATGATTATAATTCTGTACCTTTCTTATTCAAACCTTAGACTATCAGACTAATATTTTATTATTCTTTATTGCTTCCCAAGGGCAAATAGGAAATTTTTTTCTATTGTAAGAGAAAATATTTTTTTTTGGTGGTGAATTCCACTTGGGGTCCATAGTAGATGATAATAATATTTCTGTAGCTTTCCTTTATGGCTGGTAAGCAGAAGAAAATACTAGCAAGTAAATCAAATTCCAGAATTGAGACTATTTTATGTTACTAACAAAGTTTTGGAGTTACTAGAATGCCTAAACTTTTTTATTATGAAGGACACAGTAAAACTAAACAATGAATAAATGAAACCTGAATTTGATTTCAAAGCCTCACTTCAACAAACACTTATGAAAGCATAGAATCCCAGAAGAGGCCTTAGACAGCATCTGTTCTGATGTGGTTCCTTACAGTTTAGGAAATTGAGGCCCAAAGAGGTGAGCCAATTTATACAGGATTAATTTGGCAAATTGGTGGCAGACCTATGTCCCTAAGCTCACCCAATTGGCACAGTGGTCTTGAAAGCATTGTTTGCAAGATCATCCACTGAGGTGTAGGAAAGGAATATTGAATTTCTCTTCATTCATTATGTAAATTTTTCTGTGTATGTTATAATGAACATATTAATACAGTAGTATGTGTGTATAACTTACAAATAGTTGTACAAAAAGTATAACTTACATATACTTATGTTGGAGATGCATCCTAATACTTATTTGGTGATAGCCATGTGTAATCAAATGCTAACAATTAATCTCAGGTCTAGAAATAAGATCTTCACAAATGGGAGAAGTCGCTGAGCAAGATGGGACTTCCAAGGCCCTTTTTTAAGAATAGAGAGGGAGAAGGATGGATTGGACAGGTAGACTGCCACTACATAATGTTATATAACATCCGTGTTCTCAGCTTTCCCCAGAAAGCTACTACACATCCTGCAGAGTTTGTGCTACACAAAGAAATATGAAGAAAAGAGAAAGATAAAGCTGGACTAAATTTCAGTCATGTCTCCATAAATGATTGGGAGCTGTGCTCAGCAGCGTATTCCCTGTAGAAATAGTAGATGATGTAGGTATAACATATAGTACTTCCTAGCGCAGGGCTTAGCATGTAGTTTCATCTGCTAAATATTTGCTATAAAAGCAAAGATAAGGTAATCTGAAATATAACTTTTATTTGTGTGTACCTGTGTAATTTGCGGTCTAGGAATCCCAGTCAGAAGTTCCAGCCTGCCGCTGTTTTCTGA